CTTCTTGGATGAGCTGTGGGTTCCGGGCGCCTTGCTCTGAGCTCTGGGGCCACCCGCGGCTCCCTGGCTGCCCAGCCAGGTGGTGGCCTGGGCCCTGTTATCTGTGGTCCCTTGACCCATCCTGCTCTGGGCCGCTCTGCTCCACAGCTGAGCGCCCAGCCGCTCGGGCTGTCCCCCCTGCCACCGTCCTGCAGTGATGGACAGGCCTTCCTGCCCGGTAAACTGGGGCCCACCCTGGCAGGGAGCCCTGACCCGCGGCAGTGTGGCCCTGTCCATGAGGGTGAAATCGCGTCCCCGCCCTCATCTGTGTGGCCGCTTTGCAGTCGCGGGGCTGGGGGGTCCTCGAGGACTCAGGGCAGTGCGCCAAGCAGTTTGGCAAAAGCGCCCGCGCCGGCCTTGCTGGACCCTGGGAGACCCAGGGAGACCCAGGGCGTCCTGGCTGCCCACCCCTTCCTCTGGGCAGCCTTTGGAACCCGGGGTGCTCAATTCGCGCAGACGGTGCGCAGGTCCACGCCGCCCCCCGGAGGCCCTCGGATGCCCAAGTCTGCGCCCTAGCGAGCGCGCCGCAGCGCACAGCGGTCTCCAAACCCGTGCGCGCCCCGAGGGACTCCAACGCTCCAACGCGCAGGGGCGCAGTGGGTCCCAGACGCAGTTCCCCGACGCAGTTCCCCGACAGCCCGCCCCGTCCTGCAGCGCGAGGCCCTCAGCCTCCCCGCCTCCCCGCGCCCTCAGCCTCCGCGCCTCCCCGCGCCCGCCCCGCGCTCCCTCCTCCCGGCGCCGCGTCTCGCCACCAGGAACAAATGCGGCTTGTGATTGAACATCACTTTATTTGCGGGCGCTGTGGTCTCTCCTTATCTCGCTGCGCGCTGCTCGGCTGGGCGGTTGAATTATGTATTAAGGTCAATGTCAAAACACAGCGCGGCGTCACCTGCGGGGAGCCGCCTTTTATGCGTGATTACCGAGGCGCGCGGGCGCTGTCAGCCGGCCCGGGCCGCGCAGCGTGGGGGCCGCCGCTCCGCGGGGCGCACAAAGGCGCGCGCGGTCCCCGAGGAGGCGCCCGCGCTGGATTTACCCAGATAAGCGCGCTCTTGAAAGGCGGCGCCCGCCTCCATCTGAGAGCTGTCAGGTGCACCTACGGAGCCGCGCCGCGAATCAAACGCGCCGGCCGCCGCCCGGGACGCCCCGCGTGTCATGTACGCGCTTGTAGTCGGAGATCTTATGAAGGGAGCCCTGTCAGCAGGAGCGAGCGGGAGACGTGTGGTTTTTACCCTCCCCTCCCCCCTTTTCCTTTAAAAAAAAATGCTTCAAAAGACAAGAAGCAAAACTTAGATTTTTTTTTTCTAGAAACTTCCTCCTTCTAGAAAAAAAAATGAATCACGGGGAGGGGAGATTGGAGAGAGAGGTGCCCCCAGACAGGGAGCTGGGGGTGACTGGGGCTAGGATCCACCCAACCCCTGAGCCACTAAACCCCTGAGCCCCATCCCCAACCCTCTTTCTGTTTCATTTTGCTACATTGCTGAGGCTGGCCTCCAACTTGCAATCCTCCTACCTCAGCCTCCCCAGTGGCGGGGATTAGAGGTGCATGCAGCACCCCAGGGCCCGGCTCTTCCCCTCTCTCCTTTTTTTCTTCCTGAGGAACGTCTGCTCCATGGGTTCCAGGTTTTGTTTTGTTTTGTTTTTAATTCTGTGCGAAGTGTCTTCCTTTTAAAACATAAAGTGGATTTATTTTTGTCTTAACGGGCAGATTTTTAAAAGGCACATATTTATCGTGAGTTTCTCGAGACGTTTTGAAATACGCATCTGGGCGGAGAGGCTGGATGGCGCTAATTAATGTATGCGTTACCCCACACACTTGTCATCCCTCTGCACGGAGAACACTTAAAGCCTATTCTCCGAGCGGTTCTCAGTGTGCAATGCATTATTAACAGAGCCGTTAGGCTCCTCGCGAGCAGCTTGGATTTATTCCTCCTGTCGGCGCCAACTTGGAGATCCAGCCTCTCCCCAGCCGCCATTGTGCTCCCTGATGCTCTCATCCCAGGACAGAGGAGCCCCTGTGTCCTTGGTCCTTCTGGGCTCGGCTTATTTCACTGACCACAATAACATCCTCCGGGGATCTCCAAGCTGTTGCCAATAGATCTGCTTCTTCGTGGCTGAATACTACTCCACGGTGATCACAGACTGACCACATGTTCTCTCTGCACACTCCGGTTCATTGCAGGGACGCGTCTGTGTTGGGTGGGAGAAGCCATCTGCAGAAGGGAGACCCCACCAGGTGCTGTCACATCACCAGGACAAGGGACAAAAATTCCTCTGAAAATATGAAGTCCAGAGGCCACATGTGCCACAGCTCGGTTCTCGCGCAGGCGACTCACGGGCACACGTGCAGACACTGTGTGTGTGACACAAGTCCTTTGTCACTGGATCGAAGTCTGGGGACATCTGCTGGGTACAGCTATGGGCAGAGGAGGGTCAGAGGGAGCCCCGGTGTGGGAAAGGCCACTGCTCCATCCGGTGGCCCTGGGGGCTGCGCCCTGGGATTGTAAGGTGTCCAGCCACAGAACCCATAGCCCCAGCGTCCACCGGGACGATCGCACCCGACGTCCCCTTCCCTTTATGTCCAGTTAGTGTCCTTGTTGGATTTCCTCCCCGAGTGGCTCCAAGGGCGCGTCTTGGTGATCTCTGGGGGGCTCGGGTGGAGCCGGAGCCCTGCCTGATGGGGCTGTCCCTCCAGACAGGGCAGCCGGCAGGAGGCCACCGAGGGGACCGGCATGGCCCCTGAGCAGGTCTCACAGGGGCCGACGGGTGGGTGGGCTGGAGGCTCACAGGAGGGACAAGGCCAAGGGGGCCTCAGCTCCGTCTCTGGGACCAGGGGACTCTTCCTCCCTCCTCCCCTCCTCCCTCCTCCCCTTCCCTCCTCCCTCCTCCCCTTCCCTCCTCCCTTCTCCCTCCTCCCTCCCTCCCCTCCTCCCCTTCCCTCCTCCCCCTACCTCCCTCCTCCCTCCCTCCTCCCTCCCTCCTCCCTCCTCCCTCCTCCTCCCTCCTCCCCCTCCTCCCTCCTCCCTCCTCCCTCCCTCCCCTCCTCCCCTCCCTCCTCCCTCCCTAACCCTCTTCCCTCCCCTCCTCCCCCTCCCTTCTCTCCTCCCTCTTTCTCTCCTCCCTCCTCCCTCCCTAACCCTAACCCTCTTCCCTCCCTGTCCGTCCCCTCCCTCCGCCTCCTCCATCCCCCCTCCTTCCTCCTCCCTCCCTCCCCCCTCCCTCCCCTCCTCCCCTCCCTCCTCCCCCTCCTCCCCTCCCTCCTCCCCTCCCCCTCCTCTCCTGGTCCTGCAGCCCCACTCACCTGGATCCCCGAGGCCCCATCCCAACCACCCCCTGCAGCATCGTGCCTCAGGGGCTGTTCCTGCACGTGGTCAGCAGATGCCCCTGGAAGGTCAGCAGGCCCCTGCTGGCGTGACCCTTGGACTAGCGCCCTCCTTGCACAAGCAGCAAGGTCCAGACACTGCGTGTCCCTGGGTGTCGGCCGCCCAGGTCCGGGGCCATAGGAGCTGTTTTCTGCCTTTGGAATGCGTGACCTCTGGGGGCCTTGCTGGCCAGGGAGGACTGTCCATCCTGGGGCGGGGCGCTGATTCCCCAAGATCGCCTTAGGTGGGCAGAGCCTCGCCATGAGACCCTCAGGGCTGCTGTCCACCCACCTGAGTCTCCAGGACCAGGTGCTGGTCAGCTAGGGCTGGCCCTCTGCCCACAGCCCACAGGGCTGTCCACATGGGCCTCTCCCAGGCCTGCTGGGCCGCGGCTGGTCCCCAGACAGGAAGGTGCTGGGTTCTGGACCTGCCGCCGGCTCTGGGCCGCCCTGCGCCGGGTGTGTCCAGGACCCCGGGGCTGCGGCAGCTCCTGGGCACCCGGCAGAGTGGGCGCTGGCTGCTGGGCACGTCCACCTTCGCTTCCCGGGCACCAGCTGTGGGCCTGTGAACCGAGCCACAATGGCTCCCGACGTCCAGGCCTGATTACCGTCAGCCTGGCCTGGGCGGCTCCTTATCAAACCTCTGCGTCGTCGTACCAGGAGCGCAGACTGGGCGCGGTGCTGGCGAGTTCTAATGACCGGCACTTACCCTGTCTCCCAGGCCCGGGCTGTGGGTGCCGAGCCCACGTCCAGCAGGGACCCCGCAGCCCTGACTCGCCCCTGGCCACCTGGCCAAGCCAGGTTGACCCCTCTGACCTGCCTGGACGCTGAGTGGCTGGTGCAGGCACCGTAGGCAGCCTGGGGGCCTGGTCAGGTGGCCACTCTGCCTGGGCCCAGGAAAATCAAGGTGGGGGGGGTTGTAAGACCCGACTCCATGTCCCCGAGATGGCCCGACCATCCTCCCCCACATGCACAGAGGACAGACCTGATCCCGTCGGCCAATCTCACAGGCCAAGGACGCAGCTGTGGCCCCGCTGACCACAGTGCCCCCTGAGCCCCTGTGGCCCAGCTCATGAGGGTGCTGACCTCCTGTATGGAGGTGGGGGTGCATTTCCCATAGCTGGGGTCCCCAAATCTAACCCTAACCCCCAAGGTAACCTGGGACAACCATCTGGCCCTCTCACAGGACCAACTGTGTCCCCTAAGACACCCCCTGCAGCCCTGGCCCCAGGACCTTGGGACGTGCCTGTGGGTGGAGACGGGTCTTTGCAGAGGGGATGGGGGTGCAGTGAGGTCCCCAGGGTGGCCCTGACCCAGCAGGACTGGGGTCCTCGTAGAGGAGGAGATGAGGACACAGACGCACACAGAGGGACGCCCCGGGAGGACACAGGGAGAAGACGGCGGCTGCCAGCCCAGGGGAGAGGCCTTGGGAGGAGCCCGCCCTTCCCACCCTGGACCTCGGACCTCCAGCCTTCAGGACGGGGAGATAGACCTCTGCTGATCTAACCACCCACTGTGGGGCTTCGCTGTGCAGCTCGACCTTGAATGGGCACAGAGTCCCCTGAGCCACCCGAGTTCACCAGCAAAATGAGACCAAGCCGTGCCTTATGGTCCCTCATGCCACCAGCACAGGGGCAGCAAGGTGCCCGTTGTTGGCTGGAGGAGAGGCAGAATGTGATCCAGGGGAAATGTGATACACGTCTGGCCAAGCCCAGCTGCATCCTGGGTAAGATGGCGGGGCCCTGGGCCACGCTGGGGGCCATCATCCAGACCCACCCACCTGTCCACCGGGGTCCTCTCAGTAGCCACGGGATCCCAGACGTGGGAGAAGTCAGGCAGTGGGCAGGTGAGGCGTCCACCACAAAGTGCACTTCTCCCAACACGGGAGGTGACGTCCAGGTGGCAGCGTCCCGAGAGCAGGGGACGGTCACCACCAGGGTGTGGGAGGAAACCCCAGCGCCATTGTGTTTGGAGAAATTTCCAACCATCTGTCCCCAGCTGAGGAATGAAGAAGCCTCACCCAGCAGCCCCTCGAGCGCGGGATCCCCAGGACGGTTCACGAGGTCCGTCCAGCGAAGCAGGAAAAGGCTTGAGAGACATAGGAGAAGCTTCCGGAGCAAGAGAGCAGCAGCTCCCCGGGTCCTGCAGAAATGTCCTGGGGATCGGCACCAAGGGTCAGGTCCAGGTGGCTGGACAGAGAAGTGAGACCTCACGTCCACCACACCTCTCCCGCAGGACACAGGGGGGGCACATGCCAAGGTCAAGGACAGACGCTGGAAATGGGACCAGGAGGAGGGGGATGGGGGAGGAGGGGGATGGGGGAGGAGGAGGAGGAGATGGAGGAGGAGGAGGAGATGGAGGAGGAGGAGGAGGAGGAGATGGAGGAGGAGGAGGAGATGGAGGAGGAGGAGGAGGAGGAGATGGAGGAGGAGGAGGAGATGGAGGAGGAGGAGATGGAGGAGGAGGAAGAGGAGGAGGAGCAGGAGATGGAGGAGGAGGAAGAGGAGGAGATGGAGGAGGAGGAGGAGGAGATGGAGGAGGAGGAGGAAGAGGAGGAGATGGAGGAGGAGGAGGAGGAGATGGAGGAGGAGGAGATGGAGGAGGAGGAGGATGAGGAGGAGGAGATGGAGGAGGAGGATGGGGGGAGGAGAGGCAGGAGGAGGAGGAGGAGATGGAGGAGGAGGAAGAGGAGGAGGAGGAGGAAGAGGAGGAGGAGGAAGAGGAGGAGATGGAGGAGGAGGAGGAGATGGAGGAGGAGGAGATGGAGGAGGAGGAGGAGGAGGAGGAGGAGATGGAGGAGGAGGAGATGGAGGAGGAGGAGGAGGAGATGGAGGAGGAGGAGATGGAGGAGGAGGAGGAGGAGATGGAGGAGGAGGAGGAGGAGATGGAGGAGGAGGAGGAGGAGGAGATGGAGGAGGAGGAGGAGGAGAGGGGGGAGGAAGAGGAGATGGAGGAGGAGGAGATGGAGGAGGAGGAGGAGGAGGAGATGGAGGAGGAGGAGATGGAGGAGGAGGAGGAGGAGATGGAGGAGGAGGAGATGGAGGAGGAGGAGGAGGAGAGGGGGGAGGAAGAGGAGATGGAGGAGGAGGAGGAGGAGATGGAGGAGGAGGAGGAGGAGAGGGGGGAGGAAGAGGAGATGGAGGAGGAGGAGGAGGAGAGGGTGGAGGAGGAGGAGGAGGAGGAGATGGAGGAGGAGGAGGAGGAGAGGGGGGAGGAAGAGGAGAGGAGGAGGAGGAGATGGAGGAGGAGGAGATGGAGGAGGAGGAGGAGGAGGAGGAGATGGAGGAGGAGGAGGAGGAGAGGGGGGAGGAAGAGGAGATGGAGGAGGAGGAGATGGAGGAGGAGGAGGAGGAGATGGAGGAGGAGGAGGAGGAGATGGAGGAGGAGGAGGAGGAGATGGAGGAGGAGGAGGAGATGGAGGAGGAGGAAGAGGAGGAGGAGCAGGAGATGGAGGAGGAGGATGGGGGGAGGAGAGGCAGGAGGAGGAGGAGGAGATGGAGGAGGAGGAGATGGAGGAGGAGGAAGAGGAGGGGGAGGAGGAGGAAGAGGAGGAGGAGGAAGAGGAGGAGGAGGAGATGGAGGAGGAGGAGATGGAGGATGCTGGGAGCCATTAGCCAAGTAGGTATGACAATTTCCTTGCCAGCGTACCCCATGTTGCAGTGACATTGAATGTACGTGACCTTGCTCAAGGACCAAGGCAGATTAGGGTGTTCCCGGTTTTAAGATAATCGTGTTTAGGGCGTTCCCGGTTTAGGTTCCAGGTTTAAGGTTTAAGATTATTCCTGCTGGGAATAGGGCGTATCCTGGTGCCTGAGTTCCCCTTGAGTTCTCACGGGATTCAGACAGTATATTTTGGAGATAGAAGCCCAGTGGAAGTGGATTTGGGCAGAGAACGTGGATTTGGGAAGAGAACGTGGATTTCCCCAGAACGTGATTGTAGACGGCTGGTGTGAGTTTGGGAATAAAGAGTTGCTGTTTGAATCTACAAGCTGTGTGGTGGCTCATGATTGTGTGCCCAGCCAGACTGCGGCATTTGTGCCCAGCCAGACTGCGGCAGGAGGAGGAGGAGGAGGAGGAGGAGGAGGAGATGGAGGAGGAGGAGGAGGAGATGGAGGAGGAGGAGATGGAGGAGGAGGAGGAGGAGGAGATGGAGGAGGAGGAGATGGAGGAGGAGGAGGAGGAGATGGAGGAGGAGGAGGAGGAGATGGAGGAGGAGGAGGAGGAGGAGGAGGAGGAGATGGAGGAGGAGGAGATGGAGGAGGAGGAGATGGAGGAGGAGGAGGAGGAGGAGATGGAGGAGGAGGAGATGGAGGAGGAGGAGGAGATGGAGGAGGAGGAGATGGAGGAGGAGGAGATGGAGGAGGAGGAGGAGATGGAGGAGGAGGAGGAGAGGGAGGAGGAGGAGGAGAGGGAGGAGGAGGAGGAGAGGGAGGAGGAGGAGGAGAGGGAATTTTAGAGACTAGAAGTCACCATCCAGGGGTCCCAGGCTGAGCCCCCTCCAGGGGGCTCCTCCTGCCTGTCCAGCTCCTGGGCTCCAGGTGGCCCTGGGCTGGTGGCCCCTCACTCCAGTCTCTGCCTCCGTCTCCACGGGGCTCCTCCTCTGGGTCTGTGTCCCCTCCTCTGTCCCTTGGGAGGACACGGCCATGGCACGAGGGCCCCCTGCCCCAGGAGGAGCCCAGCTCAGGACCCTGCACTGACGACCTCTGCAGAGACCCTGTCCCCACACCAGGTCCCACTCACAGGTTCTCACCTGCATCCTTAATCACCTCCACCATCCTCCCCTCCACCATCCATCCCCATCTGCACCATCTGTCCTCCCCTGCACCCTCCTCCCCTCCATCACCTCCCCATGGTCCTCTTCCCCCAGCTGCCCTTCCATCATGACTCCTCGCCGCACCGTGGCCAGCTCCCCGTCCACACTCGCCGTCCAGCATGACGGCCTCCCGCAGGCTCACGTTTCTTCCATCTTCTCACCTCCTTCCTGTCCCCCCTCTCCCTGCACTTCCCCTCCTTGCTGGCCTGCATGGCCCCACCTGCTCCTTCCTGCCCCTGGCCCTCTGCTTCCTGGCCGGCAGCCACCACGTGACTTCTGGACCCTGGTGGCCCTGGCATGCTCGTGGTCCCGCAGAGACGTCCCTGCTCTGGGCCGCTGAGGGGTGAGTCCCCTGCAGGGGGAGAGCCACAGCCCGCTCTGGGGTGTGGCGGGGACCCAGGCCTCCCCATCGGGGACTCGAAGGCAGAACGGCCTTCTCCTGCGCCTGACCGCGAGCGCCCGTCCGGCTCCGTCAGAGGAGGCCAGCCCGCCCCGTCCTCGGCCCCGATTGACTCGTCTGAGGCGGCCGTGTGCTGTGATTCCTAATACAGTGCTGCGACGGCGGCTCACCTGATCTGGAGGTAATTAATACAAAGATCGTTGAATTAAAGATGTGAGTCTTGACACTGTGGCGGGGGGCTGAGGGACCCGGTCTCCAAGGCCCACATTATGCCGGAGACAGACCAATTAGCACTGAGTGTCTGCTTTTATGTTAACTTCAATTAGGGTCCTGAGATCCCCAACGTTGTTTTCCTCTCACCGTCTCCCGCCTCGGCCTCACATCAAAGGGCCGCGCCAGCACCGCAGGTAGCCGCTGCCGGGCTGGGGCAGGGGCCAGCGTGGGCCACCTGCCTGTGCGCGCTCCTGTGGGGTCACGTCGGGTGGCCAAGCAGAGGCCTGAGAGGATGGCAGAACCCCACATGGTGGGGTGGAACTCTCTGGAATTCATTCTCCCTCCCTGGAGGACAGGGGCTGGACCACGGTCCCCGGCTGAGCCCCCTCCAGGGCTCCAGGGGGCTCCTCCTGCCTGTCCAGCTCCTGGGCTCCAGGTGGCCCTGGGAGGGTGGCCCCTCAGTGCCTTCTCTGCCTCCGTCTCCACGGGGCTCCTCCTCTGGGTCTGTGTCCCCTCCTCTGTCTCTGGGGAGGACACGGCCATGGCACAAGGGCCCCCTGACCCTGATGGCCTCACCCTGAGATCCCTGCCCAGGACTGGGGTTAGTGTGGGCTTCTGGCTGTGAGCCCTGTGGACACTCGGCGTCTCTCCTCGTCTTGCAAGGACGGCCACTAACTCGTGCATCTCATTCACTCTGGCCGTGAGCTCAGCCTTGTCGACATACTGACACCGCAGCGTGGACGGCCGTGAGCTCAGCTGGGGCTCGGGGGTGGAACAGCATTGTCCCCTGGAGGAGAGGCCAGCAGGCCACAGTTTTAGAACTCAGCACGGGCAGGCGCGTTCTTTAAAAGCGAATGAATCAGCGAGCTGCAGGAGGGACACCGGGCAGGACTGGCTGACCACAGAGCACGGGGCGGGCGGGGAAACGTGCCCCATGGAGGGTCAGGGACTGTGTCCGGGCAGCTCTGCCCGGTCCGTGTTTTCCACTCGACCAGCTCATGATGCTTCGGAATCAAGGGTATATACATCCCCGGGTTGTGATAAAGCACAGTCTGCAAACCTCCTCGGTGCCGCTCAGGTGCTGCGTGGATGCTCACCTTGGACCGTCCACCGTGGGCCAGCTCGGGGGGTCGCGTCCACAGAGCCAGCGACTGGGAAACGAATACCATGTCTCACTTCCTGCCATTGTGTCTGCTGAGGGGAGGTTTCCCCCACCTGTGAGTCAAACAGCAGATCCAGAGAGGCTTGGTAGGAACAGACCCGAGGGTAGGAAGGCGTACGAGGCACGTGGCGCAAAAAGTCATCTGCAAAAACGGAAAACAGACCAGGAGCCGGCTGGCTGCTGTGGCTCGATTATGGGTCATGTCCCAGAAGACCAGGTGCCGAAGGCTTGGTCCTCACAGTGGTACCATTGAGAGGTGGTGGAGCCTTTAAGGGGTGGAGCCTAATGGGAGGAAGTTAGGTTGTTAGGGGCGTGGCCTTAATGGGGGCTGTGGGACCTCAGACTCTTCTTCTTCCTCTTTGCCTCCTGGATCATGAGGTGAGTGGTTTTGTCCCAGGGCACAGGATCTCTGTCTCACAATCATGACTGGAGTCTCTGAACCAGGATGGAGAAGCTGGTCCAGGATGGAGAAGCTGGAGCAGGATGGAGAAGCTGGAGCAGGATGGAGAAGGTGGAGCAGGATGGAGAAGGTGGAGCAGGATGGAGAAGGTGGAGGAGGATGGAGAAGGTGGAGGAGGATGGAGAAGGTGGAGGAGGGTGGAGAAGGTGGAGGAGGGTGGAGAAGGTGGAGGAGGGTGGAGAAGGTGGAGGAGGGTGGAGAAGGTGGAGGAGGGTGGAGAAGGTGGAGGAGGGTGGAGAAGGTGGAGGAGGGTGGAGAAGGTGGAGGAGGGTGGAGAAGGTGGAGCAGGATGGAGAAGGTGGAGGAGGATGGAGAAGGGGGAGGAGGATGGAGAAGGTGGAGGAGGATGGAGAAGGTGGAGGAGGATGGAGAAGGTGGAGGAGGATGGAGAAGGTGGAGGAGGATGGAGAAGGTGGAGCAGGATGGAGAAGGTGGAGGAGGATGGAGAAGGTGGAGGAGGATGGAGAAGGTGGAGGAGGATGGAGAAGGGAGGAGGGAGGAGAGGGGGGGAGGAGGAGGGGGGGAGGAGGAGGGAGGGGAGGAGGAGGAGAGGAGGGGGAGGAGGAGGGAGGGGAGAGGGGAGAGGGGGAGGAGGGGAGGAGGTGGAGAGGAGGGAGGGGAGAGGGGAGGAGGGGGAGGGAGGGGGGAGGAGGGGAGGAGGGGGAGAGGGGAGGAGGGGGAGGGGGAGGAGGAGGAGAGGTGGAGGAGGATGGAGAAGGGGAGGAGGATGGAGAAGGGGAGGAGGATGGAGAGGTGGAGGAGGATGGAGAAGGGGAGGAGGATGGAGAAGGGGAGGAGGAGGAGGAGGGGGAGAGGAGGGAGAAGGGGGAGGAGGAGGAGAGGTGGAGGAGGATGGAGAAGGTGGAGGAGGGGGAGAAGGTGGAGGAGGGGGAGAGGGGGGAGGGGGAGGAGGGGAGGAGGGGGAGAGGGGAGGAGGGGGAGAGGGGAGGAGGGGGGAGAGGTGGAGGAGGATGGAGAAGGGGAGGAGGAGGAGAAGGGGGAGGAGGATGGAGAAGGGGAGGAGGATGGAGAAGGGGAGGAGGAGGGAGAGGTGGAGGAGGAGGAGAGGGGGAGGAGGATGGAGAGGGGGAGGAGGATGGAGAAGGTGGAGGAGGATGGAGAAGGGGAGGAGGATGGAGAGGGGGAGGAGGAGGAGAAGGGGAGGAGGAGGGAGAGGTGGAGAGGATGGAGAGGGGGAGGAGGATGGAGAAGGTGGAGGAGGATGGAGAGGGGAGGAGGAGGGAGAGGTGGAGGAGGATGGAGAGGGGAGGAGGGTGGGAAGGGGAGGGGGGAGAAGGGGAGGAGGGGGGAGAGGGGAGGAGTGGAGAAGGTGGAGGAGGATGGAGAAGGTGGAGGAGGATGGAGAAGGTGGAGGAGGATGGAGAAGGTGGAGCAGGATGGAGAAGGTGGAGGAGGATGGAGAAGGTGGAGGAGGATGGAGAAGGTGAGAGGATGGAGAAGGGGAGAGGAGGAGAAGGGGAGGAGGATGGAGAAGGGGAGGAGGATGGAGGAGGTGGAGGAGGGGGAGAGGGGAGGAGGGGGGAGAGGGGGAGGAGGGGGGAGAGGGGAGGAGGGGGGAGAGGGGAGGAGGGGGGAGAGGGGAGGAGGGGGAGAGGGGAGGGAGGGGGAGGAGGGGAGGAGGGGGGAGAGGGAGGAGGGGAGAAGGGGAGGAGGGGGAGAGGGGAGGAGGGGGAGGAGGGGAGAGGGGGGAGGTGGAGGAGGGAGGAGAGGGGGAGGAGGATGGAGAAGGTGGAGGAGGATGGAGAAGGTGGAGGAGGATGGAGAAGGTGGAGGAGGATGGAGAAGGTGGAGGAGGATGGAGAAGGTGGAGGAGGATGGAGAAGGTGGAGGAGGATGGAGAAGGTGGAGGAGGATGGAGAAGGTGGAGGAGGGTGGAGAAGGTGGAGGAGGGTGGAGAAGGTGGAGGAGGGTGGAGAAGGTGGAGGAGGATGGAGAAGGTGGAGGAGGATGGAGAAGGTGGAGGAAGGTGGAGAAGGTGGAGGAGGGTGGAGAAGGTGGAGGAGGATGGAGAAGGTGGAGGAGGATGGAGAAGGTGGAGGAGGATGGAGAAGGTGGAGGAGGATGGAGAAGGTGGAGGAGGATGCAGAGGCTGGACTGGACGGAGGAGGAACTGGGAGCTGGGGGCGCATTGGGGCGAGGGCTGCAGGAGGAGTTGCAGGTAGCACAGCGGCCTCTGGGCACCTGGATGAGGGTCCTGAGTGACATCAGGAGAGGCGTGAGGGAGCAGGGGTGGCCACCCCCAGGCATCTTGGTAGATGGCACTGTCAGGGGTTGCTGAGCAGGTGACCGTCCTCGGGGGGCATTTTGGGGTGAAGGACCCGTGTCCAGGGCTGAGGGGACGGGGCAGGGAGGGTGCAGGAGGAGGAAGCCTGAGGAGACCAGGACTGGAGTGGACGGTCCTGCTGCAGAAGGGACCCACCCACGGCCACCAGCCATGTCACAGGGAGTGTCTGTGCCGCGAAGCGTCCTTCAGGGGAAAAGAACGAGGGGGGAAGTCCCTGGGGGTGACACCGTCCTGGGACACGGGAAGCGGCTCCCAGGACCCACCCTTGGCGGGAGGGAACCTAGGGACGACTCGGAGACACCTGGGAGGGTGGCAGCTGCCCGGCAGGAGAGCGGACCCCAGTTCTGCTTCCCCACAACGCTGACCGCCGCGTCCCCCCGGGCATCGTTCAGGTCCGTCCAGACGGGCCGTCTCCACAGGGTCCCCTCCTCATGTCCCGTCCAGCTCCGTTGCCCAGCCTGGACCAAGCCGACTCCCTCCCTCAGAGGCCACCCTCCCGCAGCAGCCCCGTCCACACACCGTCCACCTCGAGGATGCACGCCTGTGGGGCAAGACCGCGCCTGTGACTGGGCACGCAAAGCCACGCTTCCCTCCACCTGACCCC